TTCTTTAGTCCTTGTCTTTCTGAAAAGTGAATGATTTCTTCATGATACTCTGTAGGGAACACTGCAGAGCCTGATGTGAATATTGTATATCTGCCACCTTCCTACACTAGAGAATCATCTTTTTTCTAAGAATATCTGAAAACAAGGGCTTTCATTGTTATAACTTGTTTTGGGGCACATTTCACAAAGCACCTCTTTTATCCTTTGCTCTGTTGTCTTTCATATCTTCGGTATCCATACAAATAATTTTTAATTGACTGATCCAATTTTCTTTTGTATGTACTTTGTTAAGTCATGCTTTCATAATTTTTTTATTAAAACCTGCTTTTGCTAATACTTTTAAAAGTGATTCCTAAAGTGGCCTAACCACTCATTCACAACACTATGCAGCCTCAAAGTTGTTCCACAGTTATAAAATTATTCCAGCCACATTAAGAAAAAAAAAAAGACACAAAAACATCATGAACTGTAATCGTAATGATGTAAAACTACTCAATATATTTCTATTTTAAAAATGCAATTACATTGCAGTCAATTTTCATAGCATTTTGAATGTTCCACAAAAGAAAAAGCCTGTGTCTCAGTGTTGATAATGAGAAGCTGAGTTTTTCCTGAGTTACTTTAACTTCTGTCATAAACTATGCCAATTTTTTTTTTCCCAGCACACCAAGGACATCAACTGTTGGTATGAGTACAGAGGATGACCACCAAGTTAAATCAGAGTCCTATGAGGAAACTCTAAGATAATCAAGATTGTTCAGGCAGTAGAAAAGAAGGCTTTGAGATAACCTGATTTTGGCCTTCTGGTATCTGAAAGGAGCCTACAAGAAAAATTGAAAGAGACCTTACTGGAACATGTAGTGATAGGACAAAGGATAATGGCTTTAAACTGAAAGAAAGTAGAAAAAAAAAAAAAAAGTTTAGCGTGATTGCTGGTAAGGTATGAGAATAGAAAGCTCTGAGAAGTTGAGAATGCCCTATCCCTGGAACTGTTCAAGGCCAGGCTAGATGGAGCTCTGAGCACCTTGGTTTCAGTGAAAGATGTCTATACCCACAGCAGGTGGTTGTAACTACATGATCTTTAAGGTTCCTGCCAACCCAAAACCACTCTATGATTCTGCAAAATAAGGTTTATAAAACAGGTCTTTCATTTCAGTAGTATTCCTGAAACTAAAATGGTTTGGTCAATTCACCCTCTTCACTAAAATATTGAGGTGTGGTTCTCCTGTGGTCACAGAGTGTTGGAAAACTGGCCAGGAATCTCCCTGGGTGACCAAAGGGACACACAAAAGAGGCTGCCCCTGAGCCTCTGCTGAGGCTTGTCAGGTGGCAGCTGCAGCAGCAGCGTGGGTGACACTGCAGCAGGACACCACTAGGATCCCAAGATAAAGAGCCAAAGGAGAGGACACTGGTATGCAGTCCAATGATGTCTTATTCAGAGAATGGGTCAGGAATGAGTGACAAGGAAGAAGTAGTCTCTCTGGGGTTCGTAAAGGGGGTTCATCTAGGGGGTGGCAGCATAACATAGCCAATGGAGAAACAAGTAGAGAGGAGCAAGGAACTTAACAGGACCAATGAGTCTAACACAGAGGAGGGGAGAAGCCTCTGCGACAAACCAGCTGTTAGGATCAGGGTAATTGACACGGAACTTTCGAGAACAAAAGGGGTGGATCTGAGTTGATGGGCAGGGGAAGGGGACAGCACAACTTGGATTGACAAGTCCATACAAGGGAGGAAAGGGAGGAGCAGGAGGACAGCCACATTGAGTGGCAACCAAGTGGCAGGAAAACTTAGGGGTAAACAACTTGGGAGAAAACATCGTGAGGGGATAAAATGGGGGTACAAGGATCAAACCATTATTCTTAACTAACATTGAATCACTATTACAATTGAAATAACTATAAAATCTCAGAAAAACACACTGCCACATTGAGGAGTTTAAAAGGAAGGTTTAATGGAAAGTGAAGAATAAATAATGTAGTTTATGTGTGTCTTCAAAGTAATTTATTAGTGGCATGAGGTATTAGAATATAGAGAGAATAAGATGCCAGCCTTCTAAAAGATTATTATTTATCTAGTCATTAGTTGACAGCTACTTTCACAGGTTGTTAAGATTTATTATCTAATGAAATAATTATAGAATTTTTTTAATAACACATTTCAAGACACAAAAAGTATAATAGGTCTTGTGTCACAAAAGCTGTAGTGTGTTAGCCTGGAGAAGAGGAAATTGAGAGAAATTCTTATCAATGCTTACAAATAACTTAAGGGTGGATGTCAATAAGATCATGCCAGACTCTTTTCAGAGGTGCCTAGCAAGAGGATAGAGGGCAACAGACACAAGCTGAAACAGGGGAACTTTGATCTCTATAGCAGGAAAAACTTCCTTGTTTTGAATATGGGAGGGCACATTGGAACAGGCTGTCCAGAGAGATTGTGGAGGCCCCTCTCTGAATATATCCAAACTCTATCTGGATGTGCTCCTGTGCAACCTGCTTTAAGTAAACCTGCTTAAAGAGGAAGGTTAAAGTAGGTGATCTCCAAAGGTCCCTTCATACCCCAACAGTTCTGTGATTCTGTGTTTATCACTGTGGCTAAAGGATTATCTTGCTTATGCAGAAATATATTTCAGGCATAAATGCAGAGAATTAAAATACATTTTGACTAAGCAGTCATGATTCTCTTGCATTTTATGAATTATATGTGAAAAACTGACATCTGAAACAGATATATATACATGTATTGTTTCTTTGTATGTGTACTGTTTCTATGTATAGGTACATGTTATAAATTTAATGCACTGTATTATTTCTCTAGACTGTTTTTAATATTCCATTACAAATAGGAATATAATTGCTTCCCCTTAAAACCAATTGAGTACAAATTAATAGTTTAATTTAAAAGCTGAAGATGTTATGAATAGCAGATGAAATTCACAGATTTGTCTCTGTCTAAGGCTTCCATTTACAAGAACTTTATCACTGAAAATGCTAGTGTATTGAAGTATGATAGTAACACTTGGATTCTAATTTTTTTCTTGTAATTTCTATAGATTTCTTGTAATTTTCTTGTTATATCTCTTTTTTTGCTTAAGTGATATTTCAGAAGTCTTCACAGAATCAAAGAATAGTTAAGGTTGGACAGGACCACCGGGGCCAATCTCCCCATACATCATCAGGGTCATCCCAGAACATATTGCATACAGATGGTTCTTGCATATATCCAGAGAAGGAGACCTCACAATCTCTCTGTGCATTCTGTCCTAGTGCTTAGTCACTAACACAACAGAGAAGTTCTTCTGCACATTTGGGTGGAACTTCCTATGCATCAGTTTGTGCCTGTTGCTTCTTGTCTTATTGCTTGCCAGTACTGAGCAGATTCTGGCTCCATTCTCTTTACATCCTCTCTTCAGATACTGATAGAAATTGATGACACCCCCACACTGTTGTTTCTTTTGAGGCTGAACAGGCCCAGCTCCCTCAGCCATTCCTCATAAGAGAGATGTTCCAGCCCCTTAATCATCTGTGTTGCTTTATTCTGGACTCTCTCCAGGAGCTCCAGCTTGTGCTGAAGTGCCCAGAACTACACACAGCACTCCAGCTGTGGCCTTACCTGGGCTGAGTAGAAGGGCAAGATCACTTCCCCTGACCTTCTGACAGAGGTCTTACAAATACACTCCAGGATACTGTTGGCGTATTTGACATGCTTTGGCCCCTTCAGATTTACATGTGAGTAGCAATTATATGTTTTGGGAAAAAACATGTCCTTACCATACTGATGGGTTTAATAATAGTGTTCATATTCCTCAAGGCTTACTTCTCTTAGTCTCTTCTATAGATTTTCCAAGTGGTGCTCTTTTGGTGGCTGAAAAATGATTGGAGTAGGTTAGGTTCCAAATGAATCAGGATGACTTTTTAGCTACTTCACTTCATCCTTATATTCACAACAGTCTATCCAAACATTGCAAACCATTTTTCTTCTGCAGACTAAGCACTTAACTATTTCAGAAATTTCAGCACTTTTGCTCTGTTTTGCTCCTTGTTTGCCTGCTGAAATTGTTAAAATTCTCTGATGTGTCAGGTGTTTCAATCAGCACTAGGTGAGAAGCTGATAATGCTTGCCACCAGGCAAAGTATAATTGCCAAAAACACAAGCTCCAAGTAATGAAAACAAGTAAAGGTCAGAGTTACAGGTGGTGGATTCAAATGAGATATAAGGTGACTCAAAACATGATAAATAGTTTCTTCTTTTTTCTTTTTCTTCCTTTTTTTTTTTTTTTTTTTTTGGTCTAAAAAAGTCCAATGTGAGACGCCTTTCCTTAAGAGTAGCAAAAGCAAAATTTAATTACTTTCTCCAATACTACTGGGAAGCAAAAAGCATTGAAGAATGTCCCAATCCTCTTGCAGTTTTGTTTGCTTGGGTTTGTTTGCTTGGGTTCGTTTGTTTGTTTGTTTTAATCTTTTGATTATGCAATAATTGTTGGCATTTCTGAAAATATTTAATATCTTCACCTAAGAGCCCCTTTAGGATATAACCTGTGGCAGAGAGAATAGGGACAGGCGTTCGGAAGATCTCGGGCTGTCACGGAAACCGATAGAGCCCCTCTCTCCCCTGACTTAGAGAGATAAGAGATAGCCACAGGAAAAGAGGCCAAAGAATGTAACCTCTCCTAACACTGGCCTCTCCCAGTTTCCTTACTAACCACAAAAGGTAAAAGTTAGACCCCAGAGAGTAGAGGTAGAACCAAGGGTATATATATCGATGAGAAAACCAATAAAGGGCTTTTGAACCGTCTGCCATGCTGGTGTCTGCGAGTTCTTAGCCCGAGCAGCCTTGGGGATTTGGGCTGCCGTGCTGTGTTCTGAACCAGGGCGCCGGGCCTTAACCATAAGGCCACAAGTGGTGCCGAAACCCGGGAGGAAAAAGGACAAGAAACAAAACCCGGGACCGGGAATCCCCTGGACAGGACCAGCGGCTGCGGGGGGTCCAAGACCCCACCAAAGTGAGGAGGGACGCCTCAGGACCGCCAGTTTCATGGAAGCTGTAGCCAGAGTCGTGAGTTATTTTAATTTGCACTGGGGAATAAGATGCGATTTCAAGCATTTTCAGCTTGCTATTAATAGGCTCCATGAGCGGTGCCGAAACCCGGGAGGAAAAAGGACAAGAAACAAAACCCGGGACCGGGAATCCCCTGGACAGGACCAGCGGCTGCGGGGGGTCCAAGACCCCACCAAAGTGAGGAGGGACGCCTCAGGACCGCCAGTTTCATGGAAGCTGTAGCCAGAGTCGTGAGTTATTTTAATTTGCACTGGGGAATAAGATGCGATTTCAAGCATTTTCAGCTTGCTATTAATAGGCTCCATGAGCTAGGGACGATAACTCGTCCCATAGATATATTTAATTCGGAGATATGGGTGAGGTGTACGATCGCTTTAGCCAAGGATTTAAAAGCTACAGGCAGTGCAAAATGCCTTAAAGCATGGGCTAAAGCAGAAGAAGCTTTAAAAAAGGCTTCAGAACAGCAGGAGGCATGGGAAGCAGCGAAGACCATGCTGATAGCAACCCCAAAAATCGGGAGCGTAGCTGCGACCCAATCTGCCCCTGGAAACAGCCCGGAGGGAGGCAGGGGAGCGCGGGAAGCGGGCGTTCCCCGCCCGAACCCGCGCGCGGACGCGAGCCCGGGACGCAACCACCCAGCGCCCCAGGGGGACCCTCCGACCCCTCCACAGTGCCCGCAGGACTCCCCGATCCCACAGCCCACCTTGCGGGACCCCTCAAACCCACCGCGGACCGCGCCCGACCCCAGCCCGCCCGAGGAACGCGCCAAAATGGCAGCCCATCCCCCCCACCGGAAACCGCTGACCGGGGAAAAATGACGGCGGAACAGCGCGCGCGCTCGTTCTGGGAAAGTTTAACGGCAGACGCGCGCCGCGCGGAAAGCATCGCGGCCGTGGCGACCGCCGGCGCCGAGCCGCCGGCGTCCACGGAGTCCGCCAGCGCCGGTGCGCCGGCGGCAGCCGTGGGATTCGCCAAAGCCGCGCCGCTGGTGAGCGGGCAGACCGCCGCCGCCACGGCGCGGCTACAGCCAGCCCCACCACCGTATGGCTTTGAAAATGGTGGCGGGGGGCTAGGAAAAGGGCGGGGCCAGCCACCCAGCGGCGGGAACGGCCCGGAGCCGAGAATGAACACTACTGCGCACGTGCAGGGCGACGCGGGGGGGCGAACGCCCCGCGGGGGGCAGGAAACGCACGGGGGGCGGGAGCGGTGCCCCTCCCAAGAGGCGGAGCGACACCGCCCATGGGGGGAGGAGCGGGGCCGCCCCAGAGGGGAGGAGCGAGAACGACGCCGCTCCCGAGGGGAGGCGCGAACTCCACCTCCGAGGGGAGGAGCGGGGGCAGAGCCGCAGGAAAACGCGGAGCAAACCGGAAGTGTATGGGCATTCAACTTCCGGCTCAGATACAAGTGAGAGCTCTTCAGTCAGCTCAGCTGAGCTCACCGAGTCTGACAGTGACTCGGAAAGCGAGAGGGCAGAATTAACGCGGTTTCAAGCGGAACCGAGTAAAGCTTTAAATAAAACCGGGAAACAGAAGCAATATAAGCTTACAGACTGGGGGAAATTAAAAATAGCATGTTTGGACTGGCTGGACATGAGCAATGTTCATGCTTACCCAGTCAGGATTACCGGAGCCCAGGGAAATCAGCAGCGAACATATACACCAGTAAATGCAAAGGAAGTTCAGACAATAGCGAAAGCAATTTCAGAAAAAGGGATCAACTCAGCAGTGGTTACCACTTTAATAGACGGGCTTTTTAGCAATGACGATTTACTTCCCTTCGATATTAGACAAATAGCTCGTATGATCTTTGATGGGGCAGGCATGATCGTATTTAAGCAAGAGTGAACAGACCATTGCTCAACAGCTTTAGCCCAGGCATCAGGCGAGGGACAGCAACTTCATGGCTCAAGTTTAGCCAGGCTGCTAGGGAAACATGAGGACGTAGCCACACCACAGCAGCAAGCAGCGCAGCTACGGGCTGAGGAGATCAGAGCAACAACCAGGGCAGCCAGACAGGCCATACAGGCAGCTTCTAGGGGGGTAACCAGACCAGCACCTTGGTTGACCATCCAACAGGGAGAGAGCGAAAGCTTCACACATTTCGTAGACCGGCTGAAAACAGCCCTGGATTCCTCCACATTACCCGCAAGTTCCATGGAATCAGTGATTACCGACTGCCTTCGTCAGCAGAGTAATTCAGTCACGAAAGAGATCCTGCGTTCCCTGCCAGCCGGAACCAACCTGGCTGGAATGATAAAATACATGGTGAGGGAGGAACAGCTGACACCTATTCAGGCAGCCGTCAATACCCTAACCAGTGTTATGGCTTGCTTTAAATGTGGCCAGGCAGGTCACGTCGCAGCAAGCTGCCCTCACCCGACACAACCCCCTCTAGCAGCACCATCGCTCCAGAAACGCACAGGGGGCATTTGCTGGAGCTGTGGGAAGAAGGGTCACGTGGCCAGGGATTGCAGGTCTAGGCCCCGGGGAAATGGGAGAGGGAGGGGGCACACGGGCCATATTCAGCCTTCTCCCGCAGCGAACATGAAACGGCCCACCTATGCCAATCCCCAGTGGGGCAGGGGACCCTCTTACCTTATGCCATCACAGGGAGCAGTCAGTACCACACCCCTGCCAGCAATACAATGGCAGAGCTGCCCAGCACCACCAGTGGAACTTTCACACCCACCACCACAGCCACAAACCACGCCGATACCGCAGGGCCAGCAGGGGGTGCCCCAGAGTGGGGCCCCTGGGTGGCCTTGGCCGTGAAAATAGGGAAGGAGCCTTCAAAGGTGTGGGGGGCATGTCACCTTTATAACAGCCAAGAGCCCCACGTTGTAGGGCTCCAGTTTTGGTGCCAGGCAGGTCACGTCGCAGCAAGCTGCCCTCACCCGACACAACCCCCTCTAGCAGCACCATCGCTCCAGAAACGCACAGGGGGCATTTGCTGGAGCTGTGGGAAGAAGGGTCACGTGGCCAGGGATTGCAGGTCTAGGCCCCGGGGAAACGGGAGAGGGAGGGGGCACACGGGCCATATTCGGCCTCCTCCCGCAGTGAACATGAAACGGCCCACCTATGCCAATCCCCAATGGGGCAGGAGACCCTCTTACCTTATGCCATCACAGAAAGCAGTCAGTACCACACCCCTGCCAGCAATACAATGGCAGAGCTGCCCAGCACCACCAGCGGAACTTTCACACCCACCACCACAGCCACAAACAATGCCGATACCGCAGGGCCAGCAGGGGGTGCCCCAGAGTGGGGCCCCTAGGTGGCCTTAGCCATGAAAATAGGGAACGAGCCTTCAAAGGTGTGGGGGGCATGCCACCTTTATAACAGCCAAGACCCCCACGTTGTAGGGCTCCAGTTTTGGGCGGACACGGGATCAGACTGCACAGTTTTTCCTCTAGCAAGTTGGCCCAGACATTGGCAATTTAAAGAAGTCCCACCAGTGAACGGAGTGGGAGGACAATCCCGAGCGTGGAAGAGCACCCAGCTGGTGGCTGTAACGCTTCACACAAAAGGGGGACCAGAAAAAACAGTAGCAGTCTATCCATACATCCTGCAGAATTCTCCACCCCTGTTGGGAAGGGACGTCCTTGCTATGTTAGGAGCCAGGATCACAAATTTATAATGAGGGCCACTGCCATACACCCAGCGCTACCAATCAAATTAACTTGGAAATCATCAGACCCCATATGGGTCGAGCAGTGGCCCCTATCAGAGCCTCGAGTAGCAGCATTGTTAGAATTGGTCGATCGAGAATTACAAAAGGGTCAGTACCTTATGGGGACATAAGCACTAGGCCAAAAGGTCAGGAGAAGGGTATCGCCTCATCCACGACCTAAGAGAAGTGAATAAGACAATTCATCCCAAGGGTCCAGTTCAAACACTGATACCCGCAAACTCAGCTATACCCGAGGGACAGCCATGCGCAGTGCTGGCCATCAAAGACTGTCTCTTTTCCATACCCTTACACCCCGAGGACAGAGAACGATTCACCTTTTCCATTGTGTTCCCGAACGGTAAGCGGCCAAACCTGCGTTTCCAGTGGAGAGTGCTACCACAAGGCTTGGTGGACAGTCCGACTATATGCCAGATCTCCGTGGACAAAGCGCTGACGCCAGTGCGACACTCCTATCCCACCGCAACCATCATTCAATACATGGACGACATCCTAGTCACAGCTCCATCAACGAGCCAGGTAGATCACCTGGTGTCCACAATCACAGAAACCCTGCAAGCCAGCGGCTTTGAGATCGCGAGCGCAAAGATTAAGAAAGGACCCTGCGTGACATTCCTGGGAGTAGGGATCACAAGCTCCTACGTGACCCCTCCACGGGTGAGAGTGAACCGAGACATCAAAACGCTCCACGACGTCCAGCGCCTGGTAGGATCACAGAAGCCTGCTGTGGCTTCGCAACATCATCCTGGTTCCTCCAGAGGTCATGGACCCTTTATACGACCTCCTGAAAGGGAAGCAGCCTTGGGAACCAAAGGAGCTGACACCGCAAGCAAAGAGCTCCTTGGACTTCATCAAGAAGCAGATGTCTACTGGCACGCTTGCCAGGTAGAACCCAGCAGTGCCCCTGGACCTGTACATCCACTTCACGCCGAAAGGAGGAGTGGGAGCATTGGCCCAAGGACCTACCGAGAAATCCTGACTGATCCAATGGGTGGTCCTCGGAAGACCAGCATAAGCATTCTCCCCAGGAACGGAATGCATCGCGAACCTCATCATAAAAGGGAGAAAATTCGCCCTGAAACACCTAGGAACAGAGCCAACAAGAACCCACCTTCCGTTTCGCAAGCAACCGGTGACAGAATCAACAACAATATCGGAGCACCTAGCCCTTGCATTCACAGGCTTCGGAGGAGAAATCACCTACTCCGCCAAGCCACCTTGGACTCAGCTGCTGACCATCGTCGACATGGACATGCCACCGAAGGTCAGAGACAGACCGCAGCCAGGACCAACAGCCTTCACAGACGCTTCCTCCGCGACCTCGACTGCAACGGCAGTGTGGCAGACAGGAGAGCAATGGCATTGCATCAAAGCGTGTGACCCAACACTGTCAGTGCAACAACTGGAGGCAGCAGCAGTAGCCTTGGCGTGCGGACTCTTCCGAGAGGAACACCTCAACATCGTGACAGACTCCATATTCATGGCAAGACTCTGCCTAGCTATGGCAGAACCGGGGGTGTCAACATCGGCAGCAGCACAAATGCTGGAAGAAGCGCTCTCCTCATGACAGGGCACCGTATCCGTCATCCACATTAACAGCCACAACCCAGTCAAGGGTTACTTCCAGATTGGCAACGACAAGGCGGACGCCGCAGCAAAAGGAGTTTGGACGCTGCAGGCAGCACATCAGCTGCACGAATCACTTCACATCGGGGCAAAAGCATTGGCAAAGAGATGCGGAATCTCGACAGCGGACACGAAACATGTAGTGGCGACCTGTCCTCATTGCCAGAAGTCACCACTGTGGACCAGCGGAGTCAATCCAAGAGGCCTCAAGCCCTCAGAAATCTGGCAATCGGACTTCACAATGTGCCAACTGATGAAGCCAAGAGTGTGGCTAGCAGTGACAGTAGACACCTTCAGCGGAGTGATAGTAGCCACACAACACCTCAAAACAGACTTGAAGGCCACAATTCAGCACTGGCTGACAGCCATGGCATGGCTCAGTGTCCCCAAACAGATAAAAACAGACAATGGTTCCAATTTCACTTCAAAACCAGTGCAGGAATTCGCCAAAAAACGGGGTATCACCCTGGTACGAGGTATCCCATACAACAGTACAGGGCAGGCC